TTAATTAAATACACCGCCAGCATTTCGGCCCAAATGCTAATTAACTACATACTTAATTGTGTTCGTTAATAAATTATTCTAAATAAATGTGGATTTGAATCAGAAATCAATATAATAATAAGTTATGAAAATGAACGTCTCTGTTGTTAAAAATTAGCATTTGTCAAAAACTTAAATATCATTTTTAAGGTGTTACTTTTTACCACACTGTCTAATACACATATATTATTCAGTTTTTTTAGTATTTGGAGCAATTATTATTAATCAACGCAAGCAGTCAATTAATGTGGTTTGAATACTGGAATCATATTCATTGGTCCTCTTTAACAAATATTTAAACAGTTTTTTTTTATTTTTTAATGAAATAAACGAACTATATCGACAATATTAGTATGTACTCTTTAAAAATTTGGTACATCTTTAAAAATAATCTAAAATGTCAGTATTCCAGGGGTATATTGATAAATGAGTTCTAAATTACAAGAAAATGCATTTTCTACGGAAACTTGAAGATATAGATAAAAAATTGTATAATACAATTTGATAGACAATTAAATTGTGCATCTGATTCTCATAAAATATAGCGGGTGTTCCATTTAAATTAAACAACTTATTGCCGTTTAAAGCTAGTAATTATTTAAAATAAATTTTTAGACACTTTGTATAAGGTAGTAAAGTTTTTATTATTGCAACACAATAACTGATCAATAAATGAACTTCAGTAAATATTTAGTATTAAAAACTTTGATACCCTCGGAGAAATGAAGCCTTAAAATTTATACTGCAATTTCACAAAATTGAAAATATTTCAAAAACGGTAAGGTTTAAGTGTAATAAACCTTAATCAAATTTACCTTTATTTTAATCGTAGAAACTAAAAATGTAATAATATATAGGGCGTTCCATTTAAAAAAATACAACTTTGATATTTTTTATTTACTTGGGACACTCTATCTTGTAAAAATATTTTTAAATTGTAGCTCTAATAGTCCTTCAACGAACCCAAAACTAACAATTTGTAAAAACCTAGTCGTTTAGCTACAATACTCCGTGTCGTATGTGGTGAACAACCCTGTATACGTTAACACTGTATTGAAACCCTTATTGAAACTAAAAGAATTCCGGACTTCCATTGTCTTTATTTATTTTAACTTACACTATGTGTAAGTTGAAAGAAATATAAATTAAAATTATTATGCCAAAATCCTTTTGTATAGAGGTAAATTTTGTGTCAATAAAAAAAAACAAATACTTATAGTTAAGACAGTAATATTGCGATTTTATAATTTCTGAGAGCTTTAAATAACGTTAAAAAACGACGTCAAAGACGGCTGGGAATGACAATCGATGATAATTTTGGGGAGGGCTGCTAATTGGCCTTAAGAAGAATGTAATTTACTGTTATATTGTGTGAAGATTATTTTTAGTTCTATGTCAATTTTTCGTAAATGACGTCTAGAGATTGACCTTGCCAAAATTATTATCGACTGTCATTCCCTAGCCACCTTTGACGCCGTTTTTTTTCAGCGATAGCTATGAAATAACGATCGCTGTCATTTTATATATAAATTATATGGGGAATGTCATCGATATTAATTTCCAAGCCAACTAGGCCCTGTTTTTTTTTCGATCGTACGGTACTAGGTACTACAGGATGAGTTTTAAACAAGTGCAAATATTTTCAGAGCTGGTAGATCTCGATAAAGGAAACATATTTTCTCTTTGCCGTTTTTCAAATAAGTCCAAAATAACCGAGTTATTTTACTTTGAAAATTTCCAGAAAAAAAAATATTTTTTCGCTTAAATTTTGAGAACCACTGAATCTTTTCTGGATTTTCTTTCTTGTAAATTTAATCTACCGTATGATCGAATAAAAATGGCGTCAGCAATGGCTATGAAATTAAGATCGTTGTCATTTTATATGTAAAATTATATGGGAAATGTCATCGATCGTCATTTCCAAGCCAACTGGACGCCGTTTTTTTTTCGATCATACGGTACTACCTATGTTGCTATACTGTCAAGAAGGGTAAAGAAGTTATGTTTTTTAACTAAAAGCTAAAAAAAATCCAACAAAATTTTTTCATGTAAAAAACCTCAAAATCGTGTTTCTGGGGAAGAAATATACTACCATTAAAATATTTGCACTTATTTAAGACTCACCCTGTATAAAAAAAAAGCTGTAAGCTTTAAAAAATATGAATGAAAATATAAAAAAAGAAACTGAAAATAATTTAAAAACATTCTTACCTTATTCTCTCTACAAATATAACTATCATAAAAGCAACTTTCAGAAAATTAAACTTCTCCATTTTGTTGCCGCTTCTGTCGGACAACTTCCTGGAGAATACTCCAAAAGTGAATATTGCAAATTAATTTATCTCGTTCGGATGGACACCGGGACTATCCCCTTCCCCGCCCGTCCTTTTTTGTCTATGTTACGCAGGATATTTTCAACGGTTTATATATTTTTATACTTTTTATCTGGAGATGATAGCGAGTTGTGTCGCAAATTATACGTTTATATAGTTTTTTATACTTATTATATTTATGCAATATTATACCGAGGAATTATATATTGAGGCTTGAAAATTTAACTGATCACTTAAATAGAGACAAATTTTAACCCCAAATTTAATTCTTGAGGTACATTACTATATAGTGTGACCCAGTTCTAAACAAGCTTCACACATAATGTCTTATTCTATCTAGATAGATTTTCACTCCAGTTTTTGACAACCTATGCTGGCAATTATTATCCAAATTTTAAAACTATGTTCAAAAATACAGTGTTTTTCAAACAAATAGTTCATTTTTAAAAGTTTTTTTTATATTTTCCACTTTCAGCCCAATTTGGTTATTTTAAAAAAAACTCCCTATATATATTTTTGATTATTGGATTGTATTTGAAATTCTAAACACATTCTATGTACCATACGATCGAAAAAAAAAACGGCGTCAAAGACGGCTGGGGAATGACAATCGATGATAATTTTGCCGAAACTTTAAATGTTTAGAAATTTTAATCTAAAAATGATCATATTTCAAAAACCACTTGGTGTAGATAACGAAATAATTTTTTTTTAAACGTCACAAAAGAATTAATTTTTACGATGGGATTGACAATATAAAAAAGTCATTTTAACGCCTAGACATAAAAGTAAAACACTTTTACGCCTGAGCACAAAAACTGACATAAAGTGTCAAATTCAATGAGCGTAACCATAGATTCTCGATATATAATTACTTACAGGGTATTATTTTAAATGTTTTTATATTATTTGGAACATTTGAAATTGTTTAAAAATTATTTGTGGCGTTTGAAAAAAAATAGCATGTTCTATTCGGAGTTATTAGAAAAATGGCTTTTTGTGCCTTGCAATGGGACCGTAGGCGTAGTACCAAATTTGCAAAGCGAAGAATTAGACAACTTCAGTGAAACATTTTAACTGTACATTTCAAAAATACTTTCTATGAAATTTTGTACATTTTAAAAATACTTTCTATGAAAGTATTTTTAAAATGTGCAGTATATTATTGTCAAGATTCTTTATCAAAATCTCAAATAAAAAAAACTTAATATAAAGATTTTGCAAAACGCTGGGTCACCTTGTATTATATTACTACGCGTTAAAGACGCGTTACTGTACGAGCGGAAAAAAAACGGCGTCAAACACGGTTTGAAATGAACGTGACGGATAAATGAAGATTACTGTCATTTTATATGTAAAATTATATGGGAAATATCATTGATCGTTGTTTCCAAGCCAACTGAACGCGGTTTTTTCGATCATATGGTATATAGTACACGGCCTGATAAAAAAAACATCAAGCGCTACCTTAGAAATGACAATCGATGACATTTACTATATAATTTGACATATAAAATGTCATCGATCATCATTTCTAAGATAACTCGACGCTGTTTTTTTTTTAATAATACAGAATTATTAATAGTGAAACATATTATTTTAACAAAGAACAGTTCCCAAGCAAAATAAAATAATAGAAATATCTTAATTTAGGTAGAAATCTCTTAAAATAAATACCGTATGATCGAATAAAAATGGCGTCAGCGATGGCCAAGAAATGACGATCGATGACATTTCCCATATAATTTTACATAGAAAATGACAGCGATCTTCATTTCATATTAGAACAATCGCTGACGCCGTTTTTATTCGATCATACGGTATTTTATATCCACTATTTGAGTAACACGTTTTGGAAAAATGAAGACACACAGCGCGTTGGCAGCAAACGTCAAAAGAAAAAGAAAAAGAAAATTAGATTGATGTTTTTTCTATCTTTTGTCATCTAACGAAAGTATATACCGTATGATTGAAAAAAATAGCGTCTAGTTGGCTTGGAAATGACGATCGATGACATTTCCCACATAAATTTACATATAAAATGACTTGATCTTCATTTCATAGCCTTCGCTAGCGCCTTTTTTTACAAATACCGATCATACGGTATTTGTTCTATTGCCTGACATACTATACAGGGTGGTCCGAACTGTATTCCGGAAACTTTGGCAGCGTATTCTGCATATAAAAATAAGTAAAACAGTTCCTATAAATGTATGTCCTAAAATGCTTAGTTTTGGAAATACGGAGATTGTAGAGTTTCATTTTTATTTCGATTTTTTCAAATAATTTCTGAAACCAACGTAAATGTTTGGATGAAATTGGCATCTGGGAGTTATTTGACACGGGAAATTTGATTTTGATGTCAATATGACTCCTACTAGTGGAGGGCATACCTACGTGTGTTTTCACTGTTTTGAACCGTAAATAACTTTTTGTCCATGCCTGTATAAAACTCCCGACGGAAGAAATGTATACATCCATANCACAATGTCAAATATCAAAACTTATATCAAAAATAATCTGACTTCGTGTTTTAGTGTATAGTGGTGAATCAGTGTGTGAAATGTATTTTATTTTCTGTTATAATTATAACATCAAAGGTTTCAGCTTCTACTATAATACTCTTACCTTGCTAATGATACCATACCATGGTAAACCCTGGGAAGGTCCTGAGTAAGTTCTTCCACACGCAGCGGTAGACTGTAGTTATATTTGGCATTGTAATCAGTCAACCAACCCTTGTGTTTTGTAGCCATGTCAATGTATTCTTTGGCTTCGTTTTCTATATTATGAAGTCTGTACATCAATCTTAAATTATAAACAGATATATCTAAATGCGTAAATAATTTTTTAAAAGTAAAATAATCACTTGAAAAATCCATTCCCTGGAAACATGCATCTGGAAAGTTTTTCCCACATCTTTGGATCTCCTTCCAGATTTAAAAATGGAGACGATCGTCTGTCTCCCGGTTGTGGGCAGTTTAGATTACTTAAAAATTGGTCCTAAAGGTTCAATATGTTGATTAAAAATATATATAAATACAAAAATAGCTGACAAAATTACAAATATTTGTCATCATTTGATATTTTTTAACTAGATACCATAGACAAACAAATAAAAAGAGACTGGCAAATTAAATGGCAAAGAGAGGGACAACGTTCCCGTAACGCAAAATTTGGTTCTATTTATGTTGATCTGCGCATTGCGTCTATTGGGCCCACTATCTCATTCTAATATAACAAGAGAGAAAGAAGCAGCCATATAAAACGTAACTTCTAAATAGAAATTAGAACAATCGCCTTTCGTCATCATGACAACCAAGATGACATCATGACAATTCGTCATGTTTGTTAATTTTGGTGATTTACCTTTTTTTTATAAACTCTCCATTTTATTCACTTATGGAACAAATACCTTTGTTTCAAATAGGTATTTATATTTTGTTACTTATAATTTTAGGTTATACTATTTGTTATTTTATTTGCTACAGGGCCAGTATTTTCTATTTTTTATATGTATTGGTACCCCCTTTCTCTGATAGATATGTTAAAGACACCCGGTAAAATAAAAGTCAGTATGTTATATTTATCAACCTATTAAGAAAAAAGTAGAAGTAGTAGTGTCAAAAATATTTCGAACATCTCTTAACATAACAAATTAATACATGTATTTTTTTTCATTTTTTGGGTAGTTTATTAGCTGGTTTATAGTAACCAGATAGAAACTTAATTAACATACCTATTTTACTTTTGTTTTAGGATTAAAACAGGACTTGAAAATGGTTCAGGGTCATGATTCTTGCAAAGTCTTCTTTGCTTGGATATTCACTTTGTTATTGCAATTAGGTAGTTGACAAAAACTGATGGTTAAAAAATGTAGGTACTTATTTTAACTTATTTAACAATGTGAAATCAATGTGAATAATCTTAAAATAAACTAATTTAAAGAAGTGCCTGAATGTCTAGAAAAATTTAGATATATATGTAAAAATGCTTATTTTTTTCCAAAATTACTGATAATAATAATTGAAGGGGTAGCTGCAATAACCAGGAAGCTCCACTTTTTTTCGAAAATGAGATTTTTAATGCCCTTTAAAAAAATTGGCCAATCGTTTCCTGCAACAGTCAGTTCTTCTGAATTTAAAATTGGTAGGTGGGTGGAATAAACACTGTTATTTTTTGTTATTATATTATAAAAATTTTATTTATTTTTATGTTTATAAAACAGTACAATTTTTGTTTTTTTATAATTTCCCTTATATGTAATAGTAGTTTCGTTCTGAAAGAAACAGAAAATTTTCACTTAAACTGATTTATTCCCTACATCACGTCCCCTTTACGTGGTATAGAAAATAAATCAGTTTAAGTTAAAATTTTCAGTTCGTTCAGAACAAAAGAATACTACTAATAATGGCTAATTTAAATTTCCCGCCAGCCAGAATGTGCGATAATGTCTTACGATACGTTTTATACATATTTCTTTCTTTTTCATATGAAGCACACATAATAAAGAAAGATAGCAATAAAGACGTACGTCCTGCCATGGTCATGCTAATTGGTTTCAAAATTGTTATTCTGAGTTGCACTACGGGAACGCGGTCCCACTCTTTACCATGAGATTTGTCAGTCTCTTTTTATTTATTTGTCTATGTTAGATACCTATAGGAAAATCAATAAAAGTTGACGTGCAGTTGTCAAAAAAGACTTAAAAATGACAAATGTCAGATTTAAAAAGACAAATCTTAAACGCCCAAAAAAAAACGCCCTTTTTTTAACTTTTTTTAGAAATCCATTTTAGTAACAGTTTCTCTATAATATTCATTTTAATAGTTTAAAATTAGTATTACTAATTTACCTTTAAAGTGGCGTTGAAAAACCCGTTGCTTGTTGCTAGTAAATTTAGAACTAATGATGGTATAGCTGCAGGTAAAAGTTCACAAAGGACGGCGAAATGATCATACCTTTGCCAACCTATAAGCAAATTTATGTATTTTTTTAACTTTAACTAACTTAAAAAAAGTCTTAAAAAATCACCTGTTAAAACTATCCCTCCTAGATTGTGCTTAAATATTGTCGACTGAGTTGACATCACTTCTAACCACCTCATGTTATTTTCAAGATGTCGCTTAGCGTTTGGTATGTATAGAGTCTCTCCAAAAGCACCTGTAATGATAAGAATATTCTCAATAATCTCTGTAAACCAGTATAAAGTTAATAAAAATCAAATTTTTAATGATTTTGGAGCCAAAACGAAAAGTAGTTCAAATATCCCACTTTGAATACAGGGTGGTCCGAACTTTATTCCGGAAACTTTGGCAGCATATTCTCCAGATAAAAATTTCGTATAAATCTATGTCCTTAAATGCTGAGGTTCGGAGATACAGGGTGTAGAAGTTTCATTTTTATTTCGCTTTTTTCCAAATAATTTCTGAACTAATGTCAATATTTGGATAAAAATTGGTATCTGGGAGTTTTTTGACATGTGAAATTTGATTTTGATGTCAATATGACTCCTACTTGCAGAGGGCGCCACCTACATATTTTTGGAGTGGTTTGAAGAGTAATAACTTTTCGTCCGTACCTGTATAAAACTACTGAGTAAAAAAATGTACATTTACGACGTTTCTTACGTAAAAAAGGTCTCTTGGTAAAAATCGCTAGGAATAATGGTTCTCGAGATATATGGAATAGAAATAAATAATCAATACATGTCATCATTGACAAAAAATGAATACAATTCGGGCCACCCTGTATATTGTGTAAATAATTAAAATTAAATTTGCTCTTTTAAATGTTGTTAAAATGTATGTACTACAAAGTGTAATAATAGGTTAAATAATAAAATATTAATATATCTTATATTTTAAAAACAAAAATATTCTGAAATACTTATAATAAAGTATTTTTCATTTGAGCCAAAGCCCTATTATACACTGACATACATAATGTAAAATATCAAAACTTGGAAAAGTTACATGAGAAAAACTATAATACCTTTAAAAGCTGATGCAGTCCATGCTGTTTTAAACACTGCAGCATATTTATCCCAAATAGGTGGCTGAACAAATCTATAAATATCCTCAGCATACACCCAAACCATCGGTTGTACTAGATCACCTAAATTGGCAGCCTGAAGGTTTTGTGACGAGATATGCCTTAACATATCATCCCAAATGATTATCTAAAAAAAACGCTTTAAAATATCGAAAATATATTTTTTTAGAAAATACATACCTTGAGATTGGGTTTCTTCTCATTAACAATATTGGCAACGTTTTGTACATGTCTCAAAAACAACGTTTCATGTAGCTCCATCCTGCAAACTTCACATTCACCCATTTCAAACACTTCGTCGCATCCAATGTGGAGGTATTTGCTTGTAGGGTGCATATCAACTACCTAAAAAAATATTTTAAGCTAATAAAAACAATTAGAAATATGAATTTAATAAACCTGGCTTATTAATTCTCTAATTAAATCAAAAGAAGCATTCCTGCTAGGACATAATGCTTGAGGACTACCTGGAACTTCCCTAAAATCATTTAAATAAATAAAAAATAGCAAAACATGTTAATGTTACCTTATATTAGCAAACTCTTTATGTTTAAGGGCAAACTCCATATGCCCAAAGGTTTGTATAAGAGGTATTACTTCTAATTTGAGATCTTGAGCATATTTTAATATTTCCTTTACTTCTTCAACAGTGTAAGCATTTTTGGCTGATAAAGGTTTTAAAATCCCTGTATACGGAAACATATCTTCATATTCTGTAAAAATATTTAATAAGTACATTTATACAGGGTCCTACAACAGTGCGTCGGGAATCTGTAGGTACTATAAAAAAGAATTTAGGAATTTTATTTAAGTGTGAGTAGATCAGTAATCTCATCCAAACATACTTTTTTAAGCCACTCTGTAGAAGTTAAAATATTTTTCTGAAATACATCCTAGTACATTCTTTAACAAAATTCCTAAGTTTTTAAATATAGGAACTAGAGATGCCTGACACACTGTTGCAGGAGCCCTGTACAGTTGATTAAACACAGAGTGAGCATACCAGATTTTCTGGTCTTTTCTCGGTCACTCTGTAATAATTTTTGTTACATACCTATTAAAAGTCCTGTAGCACCGACATTTTTGGCCAAAGACATTATTTTCTTAAAGTACATTATGGTAGGCGGTGCTCCTTTTAAATCAAAATGAACTATTCTATGATTTGGAACGTATGGCTTTTTCGAATTGTCATTTACATAGGGGATTCCTAGTTGCTCGTCCGTTTCTAATATTACAAAAACGAAAAACCTTTAGATAAATTCAACAAAACTAAAATAAATACCTTCTATAGATTTTTCCATTTGCCTTTTAGCTATTTCATCTCTACTTGGCTGATCTAAATGCCTTAATCTATCCATGTCATTATCCTTAAATGCCTGGGCGTGAGGAATAATGTTATTCCCTCTATCCTTACTATTCAGATTGGCAGCTTCGATAAATTTTACTTTAATACTTTGTAGAAAAGCTTCATCCTGAAAAATTGGATTTTAATACTTCTTATTCCTTCGCTTTATATATATTTATGTTACTTTTTCATCTGGTTGTAAATTAATGGGTCTATGGTCGATCACAGAGAATTGTAATCCAAAGAGGATCAGGGTTAAAAGACCTGCACCGACTAGAATTGTGGTTTTCTTTCTCCATGCTGTAAAACCTACTCTATATACAAAATTGTTCATATTATTCTTCTCTGACTCCATACAAAAGGTCTTACAGACTGTTAATAACAAAGTGCACAATTAGCTGTTATAACATCAAAATGAAAGAACAATTTCTACCAATATTATTTACCTTTATTAAAAACATTTGCCACATATAATTTACTCACCTTTCTCTTCTACAAAATACCCACACTTGAAATTCACATCTTTGTACTGGATATTATATAGTTATATAATCCCTGTACCAGTTACAAAGATACTTAAGCATAAATATTCAATTATTTAACATTTACCACTTCATATTGACAAAAAATCGATGCAACAAGCAGAATTAATGTATTAAACTGTATTTTATCAAATATCTTCAGACTGTTACTTTGTTTTAACTTCACAAACAGGGCCCATGGTTCGTAAATCTTTTAAGGAAGTTCTTTTTGCAAAACAAAGATCTTTATTTTTTTTAAATAAAAACAGACATAAAAACCACAGAAGACAACGCTCTTTAAAAGGATTCTTTCGATTTGTTGATTTGTTTACTCGTTATATTTTGTTCTCTTTCTAATTTAGAGCAGGAAAGCGAAACAGAATCGTAATCAATAAAGGTCATCCAGGTTAAATACCTACTTTCTTACAAGAAACTGGTTTATGAGTAAAATAAAATGAGTAAAAATAAAGGAAAGTGCGGTAATAATAATATTTGAGTTACACAGTGATTAAATTACCTAAAAATTCTATGCTATAGAAAGGCAAAAGTATTTTTCTGCCTTCTAATAAAAAGTTCATAAATTGAAAACTCCCAAATCTATCAATACGGCCCTGTACCTTTTGGTGTATATTTAGTTGCCTATGGTATAGAATAAGAATTTGAGAATTTAAATTTCAATTTATTTAAATTATTTTATTAGTTTTGGAAAAACATGTTTATTATTTTATTAGAACACAGGAGCTAGTAAGATTATTAGAAAAATATTTTCTGTATAAAGTCTTGCTTGGCACCTGCATAATATAGAAGTTTATACCCATAAATTTAAAAATTCAAAAAATATAATATTATTTTCTGAAATTTTACCTTTTAGCGCCATTGAGTTAGAGCTAATAAGTGATTATTAAAAAAACTGTTGACGTAGATATCAGATATCCGCAAATACGATTTCAAAACAAACTTTATAAAATAATAAAATATTTGAACTTATATTGAATATAAGTACTGAAAACAAGGACGAGAGATAAAGTTGCATCCATCGAGTGTAAAAATTTGGTTGGACGTCGCACACCTTTTATAATAAAAAAAATTGTGTGCGCATATTTGAAGTAAATCTTCTTACGGCTCAAGTTTCGTTTAATTGAAATTAGTTATGTAAGAGATATTTGTTTATTTAGTATTTAGAAGCCTTTTTGAATAGTATGTCACGTAGTTTTTCAACTTTAGAAGAGCTGAAACCAGTTAGATGAAAACAACGTTTCTGTTTTTCATTCTAGAAATTTTTTTAAACATAGACAGGCAAAAAAACTTCTTGCAAAGTGTACCATTTCATTTACTGATAAAATGTTGTAAAATATAGCAAGATTTGAACAGTGCTCGGCAATTGGAATTCGTAAACAGACGCGTTTTAGCTTACAACGTGTTTTGATTGCTTTGGTGAGGTATTTTTTATTTGATTTGGTTTGATGGTCATTTTTCTTAATTTTCGTTTTTTCTCAGTACGATTTTAATGTCTAAATTACAGTATCTACTAGGTTAAGTTCATACCTACACAAGAAAAGTGTTTAGAACGTAAAATAGGAACACGTTTTCATGTAGCTCATTTCAGTTATTCTAAAGTCGGTTTGGTTATGATTTTGTGTTTCGGGAGGCTTCTATATACTGGATGTTTTTTAAATTATATTACCGACTATAAACCATTAAATGTCGTTGGACTAAAAGACGAAATCGAGTTTTTATGCAACTCCAAATAAATATTGTTGGCCTCTGCTCAATATGATAAAAAAAACGGCGTCAGCGATGGTTATAAAATGAAGATCGCTGTCATGTTATATGTAAAATCATATGGGGAATGTCATCGATGTTCATTTCCAAGCCAACTGAACGCTATTTTTTCGATCATGCGGTATTTATCTGCGGTTTTTAGTTTTTTAGTACCGTATGATCGAAAAAAAAACGGCGTCCAGTTGGCTGGGAAATGAACATCAATGGCATTTACCATATAAATGTATAATGTATAAATTACATATAAAATGACAGCGATCTTCATTCCATAGCCATCGCTGACGCCGTTTTTTCTCGATCATACGGTATATTATATACTATTTATTATGATTACTAAATCGGAATTAAAATATGACTCTAAAAAAATTAAATTAGTATTAAGAATTTAAGAAGTCTTTGAACAAATGAGAGAACTGCATATTTCTTTTTCTGGTCTCCGGTAGTGCCAGTTAGATTCTTGTTTTTATGAAACGTAAATTGTGCATGTTATTCGTTGAAAAAGACAAATGAACGAATCGTAAGAGTCAATTCAATGTGAGAAATTGAATCGTGTGATTCGATTCACTAAAAAGAATCGTAATGCCCATCACGGTACGCCCATCACTACTCGCTAGCTCGTGTGGCACGGCCTTGAATTTTTACTCCTTTATGCACTTAAAAAATCACTTCAAAAAAAGAAAAATTGCAGGTGAAGTGCACGATCCCACCGAAATTCCACCGTCGATGGCCGCAATGCCCGTGCATAACCGACAGGTAAAAGTAATTCGTAATCTGTATATCCCTCTCTCTGTCGACCGCTCGTCTCGATTCAGTCTGCGGCCGCGAACTTCGAAATGACTCAGTCCAGTTACATTTAAGCCTATCGACGCGAGCAGATCTCGTTTTTCCCGTCCTTCCGCGCTTTCAGTTTATTGTTTCGCGTTTTTTTTTTCGTTCGCTAATAAATTCATCCCTTAAAAATGCCGCGATTTTTGGTTTAGCTACAGAATAAATTAGAATCGTCCATAATTGATTAATGACAGATCGAAACAAAAGAATCGCGACCGTTACTGAAACGAAAACATCACGGTAATCTTGATGAAGATGACACCGCAATGCAATCCGGTGTTGCATTACACGAAACAGCCGCTTCTGCCGCAAAACAATCAGGTGGTGGTGCTGAATTCGTCGACAACGAAGAAACTGCAGAAAACCGAACGGAAAAAGCGGAAAAACAGGATCAAGTGCGTGATCGTCGGCGACAAACAGGTGGGAAAAACTTCTCTGGCAGTGTCCTACAGCAACGATAGTTTTCCTAACGAATACGTACCCACGGCGTACGACAATTATAACGGTAAGTACCGTGTGCGGTGGAAGTTGCGGTTATTTTGCTCTGGGAAAAGAGCGCACTCGGTTTTTGCGGTGAAAAGCCATCAAAACAATTCAAACAGATCTTCAACTTTTTACCGATCATGATTTGGTATTCTATTATTATTATTTCAATTCTTTAAGTTATTTAGCTGAAAAGCAAACAATATTAACATTTACAATTTTCAGAGTTGCGGAAATAGTCAAAACTGTGCCAAAATTCGAAAACAGACGCGTCTAAAACCGTTAAACTGCTTCTTCAAGCTCAAAGAAATAAAAAAGCATAGAGAATAGAGACGCTCTAACATACCGTGTGTTTTGCGTCTTGTGGCTTGTATCCGCGATCATAGGGTACTGATTCCTGATGAATAAATGTTTCCCATTACATTTTAGAGAAAAACTTGTATGGAAACTTTTTGCCCTTGGTCCAATCTATCGCCATACGAAATTTAATTTAAATCGGACGGTTTTTTGATTTGATTAATTGATGAAGGGGTTTCGTAGAGCACGAAACGTCGAAAGTTAATTATGATTTGATTAATCATAAAGACTGTGATGTTATGAACTTAATAGTTTATAAAAATATTTAAAAGGTATTTTTAGTTTAAGTTGCGTTGGCATGAAAATGTTTCTTTTTAGTATCGAATTTTTTTCTCAATCATTCTGTGTACTTATATCAAGATGATCTTTAACAATTACTTACAATAAATATGTGTTATCGTTTTGTATGATTACAAATTATTACAAATTATTTGATAATAAGAAACCAATCTGTATATTTTATTAATTAAGCACATTTTAGGAATTAGTATCCAAACACCTTTTTTTAATAATCATCTCTTGAATTCTGATGAGTAATATCGTGGTCTTATTTATTTTTAGTCAAATTTCTGAAAATTATTATTATTTGAATGTAGCTATTATTACATTCTTTACTTGTTACATTTATCAATATTCTGGAATTAATAAGTTAATTAGTATTTATTATATTACTAACACTAATAAAGATTAAATTTCAGTGTAATTATTTATTTCAAAAGTATGCCTAACATGTTTTGGTTCATAAGAAGTATTCTTTGAAGAAAACCAACGTAAAATGATATATTTTCTGATATTATTATATGTAACTTGATATGTGCTGTACGTCGATACTAGTTTTGTACCTTTTGTTAACATTTTAATGCGTTTTTTTGTTAATACAACTATGTTAAGAAAAATATGTGCCACGGCACTGTTTGGAGGTATGATAACAATTTGGGTCTCGGGTGTTATTAGTCCTTGTATTCTTTAGTCATTGGTTCAGGGAGATTGAAAAGAAAAAACATGAAATTTTACTACAATATTGTATTTATGGTTTGGTAGTATTCAATTGTTTTTGGTTACTTCCTGTTTTACCGGAAATGACTACAATTTTTAATTTTTAAATGGCACCCTCGGTATATTTTTACTTTATTCGATAGAAAATGACACTCTGGGGTGATGACGGCACCCCAAGACTGACAGGTAAAACGTTAGGTGTAGACGAGGCTTACAGAGTGATTTTTGCTTGGTTCCTTTTTTTCAAAGGCCAACTGTGATGACGGAACATTTTTTCGCTTATACGGCATTTAATCTCATACGAGGTCTAATATAAAATGATTTAGTATAATCGAAAAAAAAAAACGGCGTCAAGATGGTTTGGAAACGGCCCTCATTTCCAAGCAAACTTTGACACCGTTTTTTTTTTCGATCGTGTGGTATAATTGTCTTATTTATAACTATTAACTATACACCTCCACATCAACAGGAATTAAAGCCATAAGTTTGCGTTTTTCTTAAAAATGGCAATATCCTGCGGATACTTAAGCTCATTTTAAAACCTTAGTCGATCTATGTTTGATCTAGGGACGTCCTATGAATATCTATGAGGAAAACTACGTAAAACATATCGAAGAACTAACTCATTGCCATTCTCAATCTGTCGTCACTTTCTTGTTTCGTATGAAACGGCAATGAATGGCACGGCTGCACTTTTACAACCATATAGCTTCCAGCTAATTGTCGATACAAAGGTTACTGCACTTGCAGTATTCGTTGCAATAAAAAAAGCATATGGAATATTATATAACATGTAAGTTAAATGAGTAGATATTTTAGAAAGTGATAATACTGACAATACACCGACCGATACTTAATTTTCAGGTAATTTAATGTTCAATATATGTTGCTCTAGTGAGTCGATTTTGGTGATTTTTTAAGCAATTTGTAGCTACATTATTTGAGATCTGTCTATTATACAACCTATGAACAACATGTTTTTGCTTGTGTTCCTCATAAACACACCTATGAAATAGAGTTTATTGTTTTTTTTTTAATGTCATGGAAAAATATTATTATTATTATTGTTTGTTGATTGGCAGTTACGCAGGAGAGATGGTTAAATTTTGACTGCAAATTCACAAAATTGAAAATATTTCAAAAACGGTAAGGTTTAAGTGTAATAAACCTTAATCAAATTTACCTTTATTTTAATCGTAGAAACTAAAAATGTTATAATATACGGGGTGTTTTCCATTTAAAAAAATACAACTTTGATATTTATTATTTATTTGGGACACTCTGTACCTTTTGAAATAATTTTAAATTGTAGCTCTAATAGTCCTTCAACGAACCCAAAACTTACAATTTGTAAAAATCTAATCGTTTAGCTACAATACTCCGTGTCGTATGTGGTGAACAACCCTGTATATACAGGGTGAGTTTCCTACGATGTTCTCTATGGGTATCTCGGAAACTACTGGAGATAGAGAGTCGGTTAAATGGGGAAAGAATTGCAGTTTTGTGGGGTCATAAATATGCGCCTTTCAGATTTTTGAAAAAGTTCATGGCTTACTAGATATTTAGAAAAAAACAAATTTCGGCTATTTAAAAAATTTTCCCTAATTCCATTATAAGCTATTTTAGACAAAAAGTTTTCAGATAAAAGTTGTAGATAATCACATCCTTAATGAGATTTTGTCCTCCGTCTTTTTCTAAAGCCTGTCATTTTTGACATTTGACACAAACATATGTTTTTTTTAAATGGAAACCATAGTTGGCCATGACTTTATAAAAATTGCCATTTTTTAAGCTTTTCAGCGATATAAGCTATAATATGTTTTCTTCGAAAAATTATCGAGTTATAACCAATTCTTATCATTTTTAAATACTTTCACTTAGTTAACCATGGAAACAATCGTCTTTGCTCTTATAAAGGTGCTGCCACATCCAAACTTTGTAAATTAAAATAAACAAAAATTGTAAATATGAATTTTTCAAATGAAGAAAAGCGTGTAAGATTATTGGTTCAACTTTTCTTGACCATACATTTTCGAGGATACGTTGACCGGTGAATGTTATGTTTTTTAGAGAACGATTTTGATAGACTTGTTAGAAAAGTTAAATTTAGTTATAGCCAATTCTTATTTCTCTTGACTAATTTCACTTAGATTGCATGGCATTTTTATTCTTTTGTGATTTATAACTTATAAAAAGTCAGAATATATTACTAAACGGTTCTTTAGAATTTACATTACACAAACTAAAACTTAAAAAAATAATATCGCTGCAGTCGAGTCACTGCATACACTTTAAGTTATTTTAGAAAATGTTCAAAAATTCCATGGTTTTGAGTTACATCTTTTTAAAACTGAATTATTACCTATTCTCACAAAAGGACCGGTTGATTTAATTAAACTTCTCTCGTACCGCCACTTCGAGTGCCTCTCGTAATTCATAAGTTCTTTTGCAAACCTTATTTTTAACCATACCGCATAAAAAAAATCTAAAATGGATAAGTCAGGTGATCGAGGAGGCCCATGCAATTAGTCCACCTCTTCCTATCCCTGAGTTTATATTATTATGATATCAATAATTTTTAACATTTCTTTCATTATGCGGGGGAGGGGGGGGGAGAGCATAATGAAAGTCATTTTGGAAACACTCTATTGATGCGCGAGTATCTACACGCTTTTCTTCATTTGAGAAATTCATATTTACAATTTTTGTTTATTTTAATTTATAAAGTTTGAATGTGACAGCTTCACATTTCTGAGAGTAACGGCGATTGAACTTGTTTCCATGGCTAACTAAGTGAAATTGTTTAAAAAATGATAAGAATTGGCTATAACTCAGTAATTTTTCGAAGAAAACATATTATAGCTTATATCGCTAAAAAAACTTAAAAAATGCCGCTTTTTATGAAGTCATAGCCAACTATGGTTTCCATTTAAAAAACATATGTTTGTGTGATATGTCAAAATGACAGGCTTTAGAGAAAAACAGAGGACACGATCTCATTAAGGATGTGATTATCTACAACTTTTATCGGAAAACTTTTTTGTCTAAAATAGCTTATAATGGAATTAGGGACAATTTTTAAAATAGCCGAAATTTGTTTTTTCAAAATATCTAGTAAGCCATGAACTTTTTCATAAATCTGAAAGGCGCATATTTATGACCCCACAAAACTGCAATTCTTTCCCCATTTAACCGACTCTCTATCTCCAGTAGTTTCCAAGATACCCATAGAGAACATCGTAGGAAACTCACCCTGTATATATAAAAAGTAGCAAATACCAGTATATAATATAGTTAGCAAAATAATCGCTATATTTACCGAAAATATCGATATATTTTGTACATCCTTACTCTACAATACAATTAGTCGGTACATTAGATAAAATGCTAATTCTGACCTGCATAAGTACAACCCAAAAAATTACCCGTGGCGGCTTATTAACTCCAACCAGTAAAATTACCGGAAAAAAACGTATAAAAGAAGTACGTAAGTACCATGCAAGCGAAAAAGAAAACCGTTTATCAGTTAAACGCAGCTGCAGGTGTGTTAAAGCGGAGAATTTGTTGAAAATAACTCGCTCCAATTTATGCCATTATTATATTTAACACTCTTTGTTAACCTTCGTTAACGCGACCTCAATTCGCATTAGCCTTTGTAAATATATACCT